GTATTTCAGAGTCCTGTGAGGAAAGAAAAATGGAAGGACAGATATAGAATAGATACTCAGCACATATTTTTAGTAAAAAAAACAGTTGTAGATTTAGAAAGAGTTATTTCCTGCAGTGAGAGTGTTTCCCTCTTACATGACAGCTGACTTTCTCCTTTCCCTCTTCCTGAATTTAGTGTGTAACAGTCCAAGGCCATCTTTCTACATGTGGAATGATTATACTGGTGTGGCACAACATTGTCCCAGATCTTATTTTTGCTGGCTACAGATCCTTGTATGTGTGTATCCTTCTAGGATCCTCACATGGGGAATTTTAAGCAAGTAGAGAGCGCTGCTGTTTTGCCTGTCAAAAACCTGCTCAGGGCTGCAGAACCAAACACGTCATTTGTTTCTGTTAAATCAGGCTGCCATTTTTCTCTAGTGTTTCTCAGTGATGCTAGAAACACATAAAATGTAAATGCTAGAATTAAGCAAAGCTGGACCTTTCCGGCAGTGCTATTAAAAACATGCGAAAAACCACCTTTTTGTCCACAGAGGTGCTGTGGTCCTTTCATCTACCTGTAGATGTTTCACAGGTAAACATGGAAAGTAGAGAGGGGAGAGAAGAAACGAACAGAAACAATTAGTTACTCTTTTGGCATGTGTTTGCTTGTACATGTCAAGTGTGCACTAACGAGGTCAACTTTGATAATAATCTGAACCAAACTGTTTGTTTGTCTTGCAATAGTGCCTAGGCATAAGCCACAATTCTGCATCTCCAGGTATCATAACAAGGGCAAAAAGGCTTAAGAAACAGATAACCGAACTACACTGATCAGTATTTTTGTATACTACTTTTGTGTTCATTGCTTAGGTCCAGCCACTTTTTTCCACTATACAATGTGTTTTTTGGTTTTTTTCTTCTGGATCCCTAGGATAATGAATTTCAACCTGTTGCACGCTCATTAACGGTGCCTCATGTTGTTAGCATGCTCTGGAAAAACAAATGTTCTGTGCCTCTTTTCACTCAGGCAAAGAGCTTCTTCAAGTAGGACATAATTTTCAATTGAGAAATAATGTTCTTCATCGATATGTGGCATGTTTCTGACCCAGCTGTGGAAAATAAGCCCTGAAATCAAAACTGTTAACTGAGAATTAAATTCCAATATCTTTTTGCCTTTAAAGAAATAACAAAGCATAAATAACTAATTTATGTTAAATCTTATTTTAGTGGATTATAGCACACAAAAAATGCAGTGACATCTGTGACGTTCTTAGTGTACTATGTACTAGTTATATCCATTTTTAAAATATTAATAAGTCTGGGTAGGCAGTTATAGTTATTCTGCAATAAGTGTTTGTATATTAAAGTTGGTCTGTGCTAAAATGGGTTTACGTGAATGGCCTCTGGTTTGTACTCACAGTGTTCACCTCAGGTTGGTAGGTTATATGGTCAATGGAGTAAACCGTTAAAACCAGAAGTGAAAATTGGCCTTTGAGTGGGATTTTTAGAAGTCTTTCACTACACAGATGCTTGTGGGTATGTAGGCTGCCAAAAGAAAGATTGTTCTATCTCAACTGATCATTTCAGATGCAGCAATAACACTGGTAATATTAATTTATAGGGCTTTGCACTAGCTTATGTGCTGAGAATTAAAACAATGGAAGACAGCTGCATTGTACATTTTCCTTTATTTTAAATAATGTGACTGTCATCTCTTTTCTCCTCCCTTTCTTATAAGGAGAAAATTGAATTTTAGTCATGGCAACAAAGGCATATTTCATTATATAATCATTACAGTCCCCAAGGATGGGTTCATAGCAGGCTCGAGGACACAGGGAGGCAAAGTGTAATGGTCTAACATCAGAGAGTATCAGCGTGCAGAGCCCCATGGGACTCGCGAGGGAAGGAACTTGTTCACAGTTACAGAACGAAACAGGCACTTGGTCCATCTTGTTTTAGTGTTGATGCGGTGTAGGTTGATCATAAATTTACATGAGGTGACTTGCATCACTATCATTTGTGGAATGTTTAAACAAAAATGGAGGTCTTTATGAAGGTGCCTTATTGGCTTTTTTCCTTAATTGCTTACAGGAGCTAAAATCAATCTCTTATTGTTCGTTGAGTTAGAGAAGAATGGTGCCAGAGCTGCTGAGGTAGCACAGTCATATTCGTGGATTTTTGTAATTGTCATTGAGGATTATAAGTTGGAGGTTATTAGCATTACTAGGTAAAGTTCCACTGAGTCTATATAAAGATGGATAAAAGGTTATCACTAAACTGTTAATTACAGTGGTTACAGTCATTAAATTTTTCTGATTCTGTTAGATGATGAGGATTTCTCAAAATTGCATGCATTTGCTGTATATACCATTAATATTTTATTGAGTAGGAGACGGTGAATGTTGCAGTCAGGTATGAATCTTGTCTATCCCTGAGTGTTATGGTTTACAAGTAGCATTGAAATGCACGATCTAACTTTTGTACAGCTTCTGTATACTAAATATGGAAAATGTGCATGTATGGATGAATTTTCATATTTTAGTATCAAATTTTTGAAGGAGATAATGCTAATGGTCAGACCCCTTTTTTTTTTTTAGGGGAGGACAGCTGAATGAAAGACCATGTGACTAATACAGTGATTTTAAATGAATTTAACATAGTCTCTGGCAAGTTCTGAGCATGTTTTCACTTTGTCACAGGTGACAGTCACTGTTCACCGACAGCTTATGAAATGTAGCTGTAATACTGATAAAGGCTGCACGAGCACTAGCAGAGTAAGAGGGCGTTGCCAAATGGGCAGGGTGAAGGGAAAATGGGGAGGATAGAACAAATCAACTCTTGTACTGTGGATCACATAAGGATGTCATGCAGATAACTTTCAGATTTTGCATCTTCCCTTTGTGTCCTGATGCTATGCAGGACTTAAACATCGCATGTTTATAGTTCTGATTTGATTGCGAAGACAAAAAGGTATTGTTTAATTGTGTGACCACCAAGACATTGTTTTAAATGTGCTCAAGATCTGTCCAGTTTTCACCATGTTACTTCCTTTCCCCCAACAGGCACTCATGTTTACTATGTAAACCCAAAATACAAAACTTATTTGAAATGCTCTGCCTTTAAACTCCTCATACATATATCTGATGTAAAGCCCTTATGACTCTTAGAAATAGGACTGTTGTATGTAACATGGCAGTTTTTAGGCAGCCCAATCAGGAGCCCAGACCTCCTTGCCTGTAATAAGGAATTGCTCCTAGGTTGGTTAGACTGAACACAGACTTATCCAGACATTTGTAATACGTTTTCTAGTAGCTCTTATTTGAATTTTTGCATAGTAAAACTGAAAGCCAGATGTGTTTTGGCTGCCAGCACTTCTCCCAGCTCTCATGATAAATCTCATTTCCACTTTCTCCCCCCACCTCCCTCAGGAGAACACTTTCTGTCTCAGCTCTGTTTTCCTTTTTCTTTCTTGTGTCATAATCATGTGATTTATAGACACCACTTTTATTGGAAATTCTGTTTTTCAGGCCCTTAGTTCAAACCCTCAGTTCTTCCTCTGAACAGTGAACGTTGCTCAATCTCTGAAGAGGTTGCTTTTGAACCACTTGAGATTGCTTTTTTTTTCCCCTTCTGTCCCTGGAATAGAGTCTTGCTTTGCTCAACTCAGTAGGATTTTTTCCATTGACTTCCAGGGTCAGTGTTTAACCCCTATCCCTGCTGATGTAGGAATGGAAACCTGGTGAAAGGAAAACTGGAGCTGGAATGGAAGTGCACATAACAGCTCTCAGTGGCTCCAGAGTAATACACTTTGGTACAGCACAAACATAGTGCTGCCCTGATTCATTTGTATTTACTCTGTGCTATCATCGAGGAGTTGAACTTGAATTCCTCACTGCAGTGTAAATAGTCAATTTGACACTGCAGTGATGCTCCAAAACGTTGACCACCTTTCCAGTGCAGCAGGCTGGTACTGAATGCCAGTTTTGTTTCTGCGTTGTTGTGTGCTAGGAAGAGTGTTCATGCTATCGCATGTCCTGGCAGGAATAAAACAGCTGTGAATGACCCGCAGGTTCCTTCCTAGTAAGGAGGCGTGCTGAATGTACTTCTGTGGCTACTGTTTTGGGGATTGTTTTAACTAGTCTTCTGGAGGAAAGCGGGCTGCTTGGGTTTGGTGGACAGTGGGTGCTTTAAAAAGCAAAGGTGGAGCCCTATATTCTAGTCATGAATTCTAACTGCCAGCTTGCATACCAACTGGCAGCAACAACTTGTGAAAGGTCTGAGGTCATGGATGCTGCTTGCAGTCTCTGATGTGAAGGTGAGGAAGTACACACACACACACACACGTGTGCGCACACACAATCGTGCACACCTCAATCTGTAACAGAAGTGTGGAGACTTTTCTGTCTCCTGGCGAATGCATTCATACCACGTTGCTGAATTCCCAGTAGAAGGAAACGGGAGGGAGGGAGGGAGGCTGTTTTCCATGGCAGACCTCGTCTTTTAGTGAGGAAATAGGAGGGGGAGGGAGAGAGGGAAGGAATTGCAGAGAGGAGGGACTGTTAATGGCAAATGCATATGTACTGTTACAGGGCCCTGACTGACCCAGAGGGGTCTGGAAAGCGACCAGCCAGGGCGAATGAAGAAGTAGCTCTTGCGGCAATAATTTCACGTGGGAAAAGATATCCTGACAAGGATTGTCCCTATAACTTCTCCTTCATCACCTCTGCTTGGAGAACAGATTTTTCTGGTTTCCCGTTCTCTGCTGCTTCCTCCTCCCTAACCTTGCATTTTAATAACATAGCGAAGAAAGGAAGTCACATCAAGGCTTGAAGGTTTCCAGCTTCAATCTGAAATGAAATGTAAAGAAACCTGGCAGGGTCTGAAATGTGCTCAAACCCCTGAAAGGGAGATTTTGGAATTCAGCTCGGGGAAATAAATGCTGTGCTTTCCAAAGCAGTGAATTTTGATTAATCTTTTTTTCCCCCCTCTCCTCTTTTCTCCCCCTCCCACCCCGTAGAAATTGGTAAGATTGATCAAGATATATATAAATACAACACACCAGGATTCACTGGCTGCCTATCAAGAGTACAGTTCAACCAAATTGCTCCGCTCAAAGCAGCTCTGAGACCTACCAACGCCTCTTCTCACGTCCACATTCAAGGCGAGCTAGTAGAATCCAACTGCGGAGCATCTCCGTTGACAATCCCACCAATGTCGGCCGCTACAGACCCATGGCACTTAGATTCGGGTAAGTTTGGGGTCATTTTACATGAATGCAGCTGAGCACTTCAGAAGATAAATATATCTACCCTCCTCTGTAAGGGGGAAAAAAGTAAATTAGAATGGAAGCCATTTATAGATGATTGTAGGACAATAATCACAGTATGAAATGCAAAGCTGGAGTGAAAGAGAATTACTGCTACTTCTAAATGTAGTTACAGGATTTTTTTTTTAATCGCAATTAAGTTTGTGAAGCAATGTCAGAATGTGGTGGCAAGGGGCAGCATTTATCTGTTTCGCTCTCTAGCACCTTCACCTTAGTTCAGTTTGTGTCCTGAGTTCATGATGTATTTGCATTTTACATGTATTCTTTTCAAAACAAATATGTGCAAGTTTGTTTACCGTCTCCACACTTTAAATAGGTTGGACAACAAAGCTTCAGTTTCGTAATGCCTTATATGCTACTTCTCTGACTTGTTATCGCCTGTCAGAACAAGCTTCTGGGCTCAAAACACTACAGCAGGGCATTAAATCTCAGAGTTATAACATTTAAATATTCTTTTGTTTATCTTTTCCATAAGTCTTACACTGTCTGAATCTTCAATTTTGAACTAGCTGTTGTGATTGCACTTTCTGTGTAGTATTGGGAATGTAATGAGTGATGGGTTGCTGGTATGGATAAAGTTGCTTATGGTAGCATTTCCTATGCTGGATTCCTAATAAGTGGATATATTCTAGTCAGCCTCAACCAAAAAAAGTAAATCTAATTTTAGGCATAAGTGTATTTATAAACTGCTGATTTGTTTTCCGTGATTGAAATGTCTGCTTTCCTTAGGCTATGTTTAATGAGAAATCCCATTAAGCACAATTGTATTCATCTCCTGCTGATAATGCTGGAAAGCAAAAATAATGTGCTGATCCTAGCAACCTCATCCTGCTTTGTGACTGACAGTCTTTGAAAGTGTACACTGTGCTTGACTTCAGAGTGTTTTTCCTTTCTTGCTTCTTGGGTTTCAGATAAATACTTCTAAAAATTCTGTTCCCTTCAGATTTATATAGTCAGGGGTATGTTGACACCTGTCTCGTACTGCAGTCAGATTCTGATTTCATTTGTACCCATGTAAATTGGAAGCTGTTCTGGCAAGTGGATGGGTTTACAGTGGTATAAAATCAAAATGTTAGAGGAAAAACTGGGTCCCTAATGGCTTTGATACTAATTACTTATTGCCCAGGGGTTTGGGGATGTATCTACCTGTCGGTCTTGGTACAAGAGCAGGACACAGCTATATACGTGTTTCTTAGACGCGTGTGTCAAGGTCTTTTTTTTTTCTCCTTTCTGATGTCAAGTAATTCCTTGCAGAGTTTCCTTTCAGCTCTTTAATTGAGAAATGGGGCAGAGGTGTATAAGGAGAGGAGATATTCCAGGGCTGAAGGTCCTAAATCGAGATAATATGCAAGCAGTGCCATACTCTTAAAAACCTCTCATTCCCTCTGCAGCCATCCCTTTGTAAGGTTTCAGTGTATCTTTCAAATTTATAACATGCAGTTTCCTACTTCAATTTGTTTGTCACAAATCTTTGTGATAGTTTTCTTTTTCTTCTCTGAAATTATTAGGTCATTTTGTCCCTGAAGGTTATATTCCATGCTCCTGTTTCTATAAGAGCACACTTGCTGAAGGATACCTCATTAGTTCATGTTTTTTGAAAAGTATGCCATAAACTTCTTGAGGATAAAATCTGCTGCTGCTGCGATTCATGTACAGCTACTGTGGTTTGGTTGTTAGTTTTGGTTGGCTTCTTTTCCCTACTGAAAATTTGACTGCAAGCTAGTAAAAGACTATGGATGGGTTTCGACAAGACAGTCGAGCTGTTCCTGATAGCTCCAGGTGTTGGGGGGGTGTGGAGGAGGTCCTGTTCATCCTAGCCTCGTGGTACTGCTCCTGGCTCTGGGTTGGCTCAGTCCCCTGCTGGAACCTGTGCTGACTCAAGTCTACCTCAATGACCTGAGAGAATACATGTTTTTACATCACCTCCGAATTAGATGTGGTACTCGGCTCATGGAGGCAGCATGAGATGAGGTTGGCTTAAGCTGTCTCTGGTAACTTCTGCTTGGCAAACCATCTCCTCATTGCAATAGCAGGACTTTACTTGACTGTTGGTCACGGGCAGCCAGTGTACGAGTGGCTCACCTTCACTTTCAGCAATGAGAAGCTTTAGCAGGACTGGAGGCTAGGGATTGCCCCTATTGTCCTCCACAGTGCTCAGTGAGCGTGGAGGGAGGAGATCGTATTGTCTTACACTTTTCTAGTAAGGAACTACTGTACCCTAAAGGGAGTGACAAAGTCAGGTCCAGTTGTAGTGGAATGAAATTTCAGAGCAATGGAGTGATGTTTCACAGGGGCAGGAGTGAAAGGACATTTAGTTGTATTGGAACAATTCAAGACTTTCACTCTGGGTCAAAACTTTAATCCACTTGGACAAGTCTGCAGTTACATTTCCACGATATAAAGAACAAGGTAGTCCCAGCAACCCCTTCTATCAGTATCAGTTAAGAACAACTCAGTCTTTGTACAAGTATCTCTGGTCAGACACAGGTGGCTCTGTTTCAGTCTCAGAAAAAGTATATACTGTAGACTGTATAACCTTGGACTTGCACACAGATGATCTTGATGACTGGTGAATGAACATGTTTATTTTTAATGTCACTTTGCACCAGCAAGTTGGTAGTTTGGACTCAGAATTGTTTTTGTTTCCCAAACCCTATTAAAAGACTTTCTCACACAAAATGTATGAAGAGAGAAGATGAAAAATTAGTGATAAATAGTGATTCCCATTAGTTCTAGAACTGGCACATTCATAGTATCCTTACTGTGACTTTCCTCCTTCACTAAACTGGCCAGAAGGGCAAAGGCAATAAGCTCTTTTGAAACTTGGAGAAATGCTTGTAGTTGTGTAAAGCAAAAGCCACAAGACATTCACACTGGCTCTTCCACGAATAAGTGGTTGCGAAGAACGTGGTTCTGAAAACAGCAGTTACTAGGCATAGGATTTCTCATTTCATACATGCATTTATCTGTAATTATTATTATATCACCTGTTTCATTTTAAATAGATCTTAACAAAACATAAGAGTTGAGGAGGGGTAGTGTGAAGTAAAGAGTTAAAAATGAGGAAAAAATCCTCTGAAGAATGAACTTTGTGTGGCAAGTATCATATGGTTTAAGTTTCATTCTATGACATACTCTGAACTTCTGGTTTTTTTGGTGGGGGGGAGGTTAAGTGTAGATTTATAGCTTTGCTTCTCAAATACCATCAAATTGAACTTTGAGGATCGAAAAATGTTGTAGGAGGGGATCAAAGATAAGCAGCTAGCTAGAACAATTACACTGGAAGACAAATATAATGACCCTTTCACTTCTAAACTGCAATGCTGGATCAGATCTTATGGGTAATTACTAGAAGATGTTAAGCAGGTTTTGCCTGGCAGGTGACCTACATGAAATGTTTGCCTTAAACTGTCTTATGTGGTTACCAGATGGACACTTCTTGCTAGCTACAAAACATTTTAGATGCCTACGGAGGGGCTAAAGACTAAATCATAAGGATGTACATCAGTCATTTGCAAGTGACCCTTACAATCAAGTTCAGGACTTGGTTGATGAGAACGCTTGATGGATTCCCTGCGTGAATTGGATGTGCAGCTTCTCAGTTCATTGTCTTGCACTTACTATTGTTAGCCTTGAAATAGCATATATTTCAAGTTTACGGTATTAGTATTTTTCAATTCTTTTAAAATTTTTTCTCATTGTTAGAATGCTGCCTCCTTCCTTGCTCCTCCATTGCTGGCATTCTGCCATACTGCTGCGACATTCTCTTAAAACAGTACCTTGTTCAGCTTGTAAGTATTTTAACAATGTGTAGTCTTTTTCTGTTGCCATGGTGATCCTTTCTTGGTAGTGATGAAACACAAGAACTCAACAAGTCATTCTTTTCAAGAACATGACTGTCTTTTTTTTTTTAAACACCAAAATGACTGAAAACAAGCAGCTCAATAATATAGTTCCCTTTCTGTGTTTTCCTCCTGACCCCATTATCTCAGTTCATGTGAGACAATCTAATTTGCCTTGGTTATATCAAAAGGAATGTAGAAATGATGCAAAAAAGATGATGATCAATGACAGCGTTACATAAAAATGACTCTTTACACATTTTAAAGTGAATTATCTCTCACGTACATTTTTAAAATAAAAATTGTAATTACAAGTCTTTAACTATATTAGCATACCTCTTAATATGTAATACTGCAGTAAATGTTAAAAAATAACCTTTAAGGGTTTTTAATATCACTAAATTTAGATCAGCTAAGATGTAAGTCACTAATAACTTGACACTGTGCTTATTGTAGCACGTGAGTGTTTTTTGTACTAACTAACCCCTCAAACCTAAAACCTTGTACTCAAAATCAGAACATGCATATTACTGGAGGGGATGTTCAGTCTGTGGGTATCTTTATCTAAGATAAAGGTTCTGCAGCTTAAAACTGAAGCTTCACTCCCAAAAGTTTCTTACCTATATAAACACATACATGTAGCAGGTTTCTTTTATGTATCTCTCCATTTCAGGTAAAATGTGCTCCAACTTTGAAAACTGCCAGATCTTGAATTTGGTAAAAATAGCAAGAGATACCACAAAAGGCAAGGTACATACAGCGCTCTACAAACTGTACTTTAGCAAATCCCTCTAACCTGCCGTGGCACTATGTAGCTGTAAAACACATTTATTCTGAGTTTAAACAGAATGTCATCTAGAGTGCTTAACATAGGATTTAATTAAATCCTATTTTGGCTCCAACGTCGCATTAAGAATTAAATGCTATGTACCTGCAATGTTTTTTTTCAAGTGGTGTGAATTGTCTGGCTGAACAGATAAGTCCTAAAAGCTCTTCTCTATTTTTGTAGATCTTGCTTTTTCAGAATCAATAGCTTATTTTGAAAAGTATATTGAGCATGTCTGCCAAAAGCATCATATC